TGCTGAACCACAAATACTAAATAAAAAAGCTAAAAATTGAAGTTTATCATACAGCAAACATACAGTGCCATGTATTCAGAGTAATTTTGCAGCAATGCAAAAGGAATTTTCTATCTGTAATCTCTATATTAGGACTACCACCAACTAACCATTTATTGGCACTCCGCTGTCATACAATCCCTTCTCTTTAAAGTCTTGAGTGACGGAATCTTGCTGCTTTAAATATTCTGTTAAAAACAGCACATTTCCTTATTGATCTAGATATTCTTTCTATATTGACTCTATACAATCTAAACTACCATATTACTTTATCATTCCAAACCTAGATGGAAACCTTTACATGATCTCTAACTAGTCTATATATTAATCCTATAAATTGTCTCTGACCATCATTAATTATTCACTCCATGCCAGTCTCCACACATCCTTGTTTTGGTGAAAGAGGAAATAAAAAGATTAGAATGTGTCTGGGTGCATCATTTTTAAAAAAACATAGGACTTACATACATTTCATTACCCCAAATGTCTGGTGTTAGTTTAGGAAGAGTTTATAGCTGAATAACCAAAGTAAATCCTTGAGTAACACACACCTGTAAAAACAATGCAGAGTTTTTACAGGTGTGTTCTGTCTGAAGACATATGTGACTACAAAAAGAAATGTAAATCACTGAGACTAAGCTCTGCAAAAATACCTAAGGGATGCAGCTGCTTGGTTTGCATTGGTTTTAATGGAGAATATGTGTTGCTCTGGGACACCTTTGAAAAATTCAGTCTACACAAAATTCACCCGGGTGTTAAATGACAACTGCACTCAATAGTGTAGCTGCTGTCATCAGCGGCAACTAACCATTACATGAAATGCAGGAACTTCAAGGACTAACTTAAATAACTGCCAGTTATTTAAGCTGTTGATGCCTAACTTCCTAATCATCAGCCTGACTGCAACTAATTTGGAAGCTCTTGTGTATTTTAGTAGTAAATTATTTGGGAGAAATCCTGATTGAACACAGCTGGCAAGCCTCATACCATTCTGGGTGAAGTGCCTCTTACCAATTTCATCCAGCAGCTCTTGGGCTGGTGGAGGCAGCTCATCAATGAAGTGCTTAGATGCCTGTGAGAGTGCTGAGATAGGGAAAAAAGTCTAGTTAATTAGCAATGATTAATCCTTAATAACTGTGATATAGGCTTACATTATGACAGCATCTTGCTGACATATTTAATTTATTAACCTGCACGCGCCTGGCTCATTCACATTTTATCAAATACCCTTAAATAATTTCATAATGGAAAAATCATTTTGAGCTGGACCTGCACATTCAGTTCTCAATCCTGTATTGCAAATTTTAGGCCAGTAATATTTACACTTCAAACGTAGGTTGATTAGAGGTCAGAGTTCTTAGTCTGCAGGTGCAAACACAAAATCCATAACCTCAATACCACATGCAATACCCAGATGTGTGCAAAGCTATTTACCCCTATAAAAAGAGATACCCAGGAGGGAAAAGGGGAGAAGTAAGACTGCAAAACTTCTTTTCAAATCTGTTTCTCCATTTCCTGATCAGTCTGTTTGGGCTGGGGCTGAGTTAAGAGACTTACCAGGTGCCTTCCTGGTGCTTCTCAAGGATGAAGCAACTACTTGCAACCCATCCTGTGTAAGATCACAGAGAATGAAACATAAGAAGGTAAATTGAAGAACTGCTGGTCTTCAATTCTCCCTTTCAACATACTAAATCCAAAATGAGGTAAAGCCTTAATTAAAGCCTTAGCTGACCATTAAATTTTAAAATAAGCTCTTCAATCAGTTCAGATGATGAAAACAGAGGTAGCATCCAGGTAAGTCAGATGTGTCGAAAATTCTGCTTAGGCTGCTGCGCACTCATTTTTCATCCAGCCACAAGATACTGTCAGCTACACAATCTTTATACATTTCAAGACTCTGTAAGGACAACTGGACAGGAATTCTCTGAACAGAAGCTTCCAACATCCCTTAAGTTACCATTCTCTGCTTTGAATCTTTAATTATTAAAGCCAGGCAATCCTATTTGCCAAAAGAGCTCCCAAAAATCACTGTCCTCCAAATGGAAACGCGTGCTTCACGCACTTAATCCTAGAATAAGATCTTAGACAAAAGTGACACAATCAAGTATCTCCGCAGAGCTAGTCAAGGCAGCACTGCACTGTTAAGGGCTTAATGAATTCCAACTGTCTGCTACACAAGCAGAAAGACACAGACCTAATCTGATGACAATGAATGCAGTCACTACAGTTCTGGTTGAACAAACTCTAATTTAATCTTTAAATGACAACCCCATCAATGAATAACAGTAAGAAACGCATAAAGGCAAGTAATTCATATATAACTGTCTCAAAAGATAGTTAAGATAATGCTGTGGCTCCAGAACACCTTCAGTTCTGAAAAGATTACTGAAAATGACTACGGTCACCTTGGAAAATTGTCAACTCCAAAGAGAGAGAATTTTTTGATACAATGAAGCTGATAACCTTATGCCACGTCTGTGCATAAAAATGACAAACTCAATCCCCTAATACAAGGGCTTTCTGAACATTTAAGTGCTTCCAAACTACTAGATGGAGGCCTCCACCTTAGCTTTCTTCCTCAAGGTATCACTCACTTACGTACTCAGATACCTTTCCCCACTAAGTTTTGAGAATTTTTCAGTTTCACATGAAACCTTACGAAACTGAACACACATGCACATGTATTTATTTTCATTCAAGTTTACTCTGCACTTCCACATACTCTAAACCCTATAGTTCACCAATCACTTGTGAATTCAGAGTGGTTCAGATAAGCAGCCTGCTGTTGCCTCACCAGAAGACCAACCCCTCCTCTCTCAACAAAAACATACCTTTTCTTCCTAACCATTTTGCAGATACTTAGCACTTTGGTGTTCAAAGATGACCAGATCCAATGCTGGGAAATGCCAATTCTTTACAGCCAGGGAAGGGATGGAGGGCAGCCAAGGCCCCTTTGATGGTGACCAACATTTACATACAATCAGGTACAAGGGGAAGCAGAGTCTTTGTATCATCAGTGGCACTGATTGCTTTGAAATCCATCAGAACTTTTGTCACTATGTCAACAGATCCCAGATTCCAACATACTCACAAAGACCTAGAAGTATTGCTGTGCTTCTCACCTTGCATTTATTTTAAGGAAGAGGGTTTTTAAAATATTTTAAAGAATAGCTGGCATAAGGTAAATTTTCTAGACTTACAGGTTCATTCAATTCAGATGAGCAAACTCCTGAAGCAACCAAGGGAATTTCAGTGCTCCTTTCCCCTTCATAGGCTGTAGTGAATGTCCTGGAGGCTGCAGAGGAGATCTCTTGAGAACACCAAAAGGAAGAATCTGAAGCTACTTCGTGGCAGTGTTTGTATTTCTCAAGGGCTATTGGAATCTTTTCTAGAATTAAAAACAAAAAAGAAAAAGATGATTTTTTGTGTCTTGGTCACATTTCAATGCAAGCAGAAAAAGGTTTCTTGTACTAGAACAGGCACCTGCACAGGAAACACTAAGAAATTATTGTCCATAAATGACCTCTAAACAGAAGTCCAAATTGATTACCTAGGAGTTCCACCTCAGACATTATTTATGCAAAACTCTGCCAACTGAGAAATTTTGACTACTGTATTACAACAAATTAATGAAAGTACAAAGCAAATGATAATTTATTGCTCTGAAACAACAGTTCAACAAACATTGAGATTAGTTTATCAACACTCAAAAACACACTAAGTGCTTATTACATTGTCTGTCATTAAAATGTTAAAATCTACATGTATCACTCCCAAACAAATTTTAAATGTCTAAAAAAATTTCTGATTTATGAAGTCTAGCATTAATTGACAAGTAATTATCTTTCCAAGACCTTTCAGACAATGGCTTTTTCATCTGTGTCCACATAAATTCTCCTTTAGTTCTATGTTGAGAGATTTCTTTTGACCAAGCAGGCTCTAACTAAAAAGCTGTAACTATCTAGACCAAAACAATGAGATACCAAACAACAGGCACAGCATTTCTTGTGGTTACTTATTCCAAGCCTGGCATTTCTGCATTGGTACTACGTGAATGGAGTTTCCACGATTCACATCAATGATTTTTACATGAGCAAGTCTTGGCAGAAAGGTCTGACTCCTGGCACAGAAATGTTAAATAATTCACTGCTCCTTCCTTCTTTCCTCCCAGCAGTTACCTGAGCTGAGTGGAGTGCTGACGCTGGTTGGTGCACGACTCACTCTGGGTGTTTTACAATCTATATCCCTGTAGCAGTTCTCTTGCTCACAGGGGATACTTGACAAATCCTGAATATCTGTCTCTGATCTGTAGGATTGAAAGATGTTCTGACAGTTAGAATAGCCACTTCTCACCCTTGTGAATCACTAAATTCTGCTATTTTCAGGCTATTTACATTTTTTTTTAGTCTTATTTACTTTTCCAGAAGGTAGAGATATTCCCTTTGAAAACTTCCCCCCAAATTCTTGGAAGACTAAAGATCACCATCTTGAACAACCTTGCAGAGACAGAAGAGGTTAATTACTTGCTTTCCCTTCCTTTACAGAATTTCTTAATTTTAATAATTCTGCTATAAAAACAAGCTCAGAAAACTGCCTCCAGAAAGGGCAAGAACTTCAAATGTGAATCACTAGATAGAGAACTCTTTCCAAAGCCAAGGGAAAACCTCAAGGTTTAACAAAAATTAATGATCCATTAATTAAGACTAAGTGTAGGTCTTAAGAGCCTTTAAAAGAATTACTGGGATAAACTGAAACTGATAAAGATCTGCACAGGCAGTGACGTCCACTCAGGTTACAAAAACTCTTAAGTGGCTGCAGGACTGGGATTATATTAAGCAAACCAACATCTTCTGCAGCTACACCCTGGATTACATTGTCCTCAGAAGACCATGAAATGAACAGCTGTCTACTGTTACCAAATCAGTAATTTCTACACAAATCTCAAAATCTGTAAAAAGAAACTAACTTTACTAGTTAAGTGACAAGCCTATTCTGTAAATTCTTCCTGAGAATCTCAATCACAAAACTATTTTTGTAATAGAATTTATTTAGCTACATAGTAATGATTTGCTGTTTAATTTTATTTCCTCTGTGTAATACAGACAGAAGAAACAAGGAATCCTAACACTTTAATGCGAAGAAGCCAGATTAACACTAGAATAATTACTTATTAATACAAAAATATTTCAAACTAAGGACAATTGCATGTGATAGCTCTTTTATTTCCCAACTTATCACGAGAAAATACTCTTTGAATGCTTCAGATAGTTTTCTCTCTCTCAGCTTCAGTCTGTCTCATCTTCCTGTTTTGCATCAACACAAAACTTTTACAGTGATAAGGACCAACTTGCTGAAGTTTTGCTATAAAATGGTCTGGGGCTCTTACACATATTTTTCTTTGCATTCTTCCTGTGGCTCCCACAGTATTACTTCTTGTGCTGCTTCAACACTGGAATGAGGAAAGAAAGGTCATATTCACTGATACCCACAGAGAATGATGAAAAGAAATGTATTTAGTTTCCTCTCTCTCTCTCAAAAAGTTTAAAGGACTCCCTTCTCTCTTGAGGTAAGACTGCAGCTCATAAAAACTTTTTGCTTAAAACCTTAGAACATGGAGAGTACCAGGAGAAAAATGACATTTTAATGACATTATGGATTTGCATCCAGTAAGGAGAAAACTTCTAGTTGACATATGCAGTTTCAAAACAAAACTGAAAATTAAGTAAGAATCTATGAATATACATCACTACATTGTTTTATCATCCTTTGCCTGGTGTACACTGTCAGCTATCCTCTCCAACTGTAACCACCCCATTCAGGGTCAAAGAGGCATTCAAAGGGGATTAGTCAGATGGTCAGAGAGCCACAGTCCTCTCTGTCCTGGGCAAAAGCTCAATTGCTAAGTGGAGGGAGCAACCAAAACCATTATCCTTTCACCTTAAGGCCAAGTATTTACACACTTGCTGCCTACCTTTGACACCAGTACCTCAGTTCCTCCAGTGGAAGGGAGAGAGTACAACACTGACAGTGAGAGCAGCTCTCACCAAGAAGCTGCTAACTCTGGAGGAACATGAGGAAAGCTGAGCTACAGGGAGGCTAGGGGCTTTTAAGAAGCCTTCAGGGAGAGAACTGTTTCTCTTCAAGCTAAAGTACCCCTTGCAGCATGAGGTGGTGACTGGCCAACATCTCTGCATACTAGAAGAATATAAAATTTACAAAAAATATTGGATATAAACACCTCATGTCTGACAGATGAGACTGCAAGTCTCCAAGCATGGGCTAATGTTATCTGCAGGCAAGATGGAGTGAGCATACTTGCATTGGGTTGTTCCCACAGGAGGGGAAAAGGCATCATCTTTATGCCACTTGAGTTCCAAAACCAAAGCACAACAAAATTAAAACAGATGACTGAAGCCTTAATTTGAATTATCTTTGCTCTGTTTAGGACTGTAGTTCATCAGTGTAAAAAGAACTGTAATATATACATGACTTGTTTTTCCTATTTTAGCTCCCTCATTAGGCAAAAACAAACAAACAAAAAACCCCCAAAAGACACAACAAAACAAAAACCCTGAACACTGTAAAATACAAAACCCCACAAAACTTGTGGAAGTCCTTTTAGTATTTTCTTGGCAAGGAACTATGATATGTAGATAATAATTTAAAAAACCCCACTATTAGCATCTTATTTGAATATTAGATATTTAAGCAGAATTATATAAAGGGAATGCAGTTTATAACCTAATTTATGCTTCAAGTAATGATGAAAATAAGTCAGTCTACCTGGCTACAGGCACATGGCTAAGCTGATTCACTCCTAGCGTGTTACTGCCAGAGTTCTGCACCGCTGTGATGCAGAATATTATTTTTCCTCCTGAATACAAATAACAAATGTCCCCTGTTATTGGGTTTTGCAAGTACAAAAGAAAGCGACACAACTCATTGAACAGGAAATTGCAACTTTATTAATTTTATTTTTTTTTTTAGTTTGTGTGACCTTTGTTGTTGTCAAGAGACAAATGTGTTTTAAAGATACATTTTTATAAACATACCACAGCTGCCAGTCAGTCAGCCTCTGAAGCACTGGGGAATATCACAACATTTACAAATTTTGAGCTACGAGAGGCAACAGACTGGAGAAAAACAATGATCTTTCCATTATTCTGCACACACACAATGTCAGCTCTCAGTTTTTAAGCTCAAGATCCTTCTACCAATAAGAATATTAATGTGCAAATACAATTCTAATTCAGTTTCCAGCAGTATAGCAAGTTGCATAAAAAGATTAAACTTAGCCCTAGGGTAAAAACAAAAAGGTTGCAAACAAGTTTTGTTTTGTTTTTTAACTGAAACACAGTAAGTACATAATCATAATGCTCAACAATATTTCAGTGAATGCAATGCCCAAACCTCATCTTCCAAAATCCTGGTGGCCTAAACTCTCACTAAAATAATGAGGATTAAGAGACCAAGTGAACTAGAAGAATCAAGCTCCAGCCTTCTGACAAGAGCGCTGCTGACAGAAATGTTAAGTGCAACAAGACTTGTCTCCCTGACTCAAAAGTACCTTCAAAAGAAAAACCACATTTACCTGAAACCTGAATACCTGATCCTGCATCTTCAGGTAACCTCTTCTGTAAATATCCTTCACAAGCATCTTCTAATTTGCCCTCAGCATCTAAGGTCTGAAGTGGGGGAAAAAAGAAGCCAATTCAATTTCTCAGAACCAGCTGTGAAGGGTTGGACAACTCTCACAGGATGACGTTCACAATAATCAGAATGGAGAGACAAACTTTTCAAGAGCTTATCAGCAAACAGCATGGGTTGGATTGGATTTAATAGTCCGTACAATACCTTCAAATCTTCAAGAAATGAAGATTGTTTTAAGACTATTGAGTATTATAATTGATAGAGCTGTGAAGGCTGAGATGATCAACTGTCTAAAATTTTCTCAGCCACAGATTATGTAATTTCCTAGTAAACAAATTCAGAAAACGTGCCCCCAGTGTTTTGGGAGTCTGGGTGTTTGTGGGGTTTTAGTTGTTTGGGGTTTTCTTTGCTGTTTTTTTTGTGTTTTGTTTGCTTGTTTTTTTGTGTTTTGTTTGCTTGTTTTTTTTCCCCAGGCAGGAATGTGTTTTAAAGGAACAGGGTTAGAATTTTGTTACTTTTAGATAAATCTTTATTTGTAGATATTATTTCAAAAAGAAAAGAATAAAAATTGTCATTCTCCCATTTTCTACAGCATAAGGAAACTACATGTTGTGTAACTTACGTCCAAAGTTCTTGACACAGACTTCATTCCTGTCTTTTCTGTTTTCACCTCTAGTTCTGAACGTCCCTGAGTAGTAGGAGAGAGGGAATAATGAGGATCAGGGGTGAAGAATTCTTCAGACACTTTAAGAGATGAATTAAGGGAACAATGCGATTCCCTTGAATGCCCCTGTGAAAGACAACATAATTTGAGATGATTTCTCCACTCTCTATTACAGAACATACATTTTAGTCAATAATGTTAAACAATACTGCATCGAATTGAAATTATATTTAATTTGATCACTCTGAGTTTCAATCTATCTCCTGCTCTTTACATTACCTTGATGGTTTATAGAACCAAACAAAAAAAAAAAGGGAGGGGTGAGGGGATGGGCAAGGAGCAGGGGATGGTTAGTCAGATCACAACTAAAAAGATCAGCTGTCTTGGTAGTTCAGAGTGCAACATGGAGAGACCAGGCTAAGTTGTTTTACAGACAGCTACCTGCAGCTAGATTTCTTGGATTACTATACATACTCTAGAGAGATTCTCAGTTTGTTGAGGAAGGACTGAATTCTCATGAATTACTATTCCAGACTCTGCTTGTTCATCTTGTGATAACGACTGGCAACTTCCTCCTAGGATGTCAGAATGGAACAAAATTATTAGGCAAAAAATAACGTGAAGTGATCTGAACCACTGGATGGAATACCAATGAGAGCAGACAGTAAAACTACATTGTCTGTCAGGAACACTGAGAAATAATGACATTTAAATGCTCACATTGTTAATCTAGGCATGTGAAGCTTTCCCTGTTCCTTTATCCATAATTGCTGCAAAAGCACTACCCATGTGCTGCTACAGAAAAAACTATCTCTGTAGTTCAACTGAAAGAAAGTAGGAAAGCATACTCGTGGATTTGAAAGCTTTGGGTCTCCCATGCTGCTACATGGTAAGCAATGATGATGAAGGGTCTCTAAGTTCACTGGATGTTACCTCCACCTATAAACATGTAACACTCAGTCTGTTATTTATGTTCACCGCTGACTGAGTGATTGGCCTGCTGTGTGGCCAAGACTCTGGAAGATAAAATTGACAACTACTGTAACAAAATCACAGAAGCTGCTATGTGATGGGAGGTGGAGAGAGACAAAAAGAGAATAAATTTTTTTGTATTTCAGTCTTACCTCCAGAACTTTTGAATGTAGACTCCAGATCACTCTCCTCAGATTCAGACCTATCCTCACTGCCCAGATTCCAAGGCTCAACATTATTACCTGTCTGCCACCTATATCCTTGTTGGTCTTGACTTTTTTGGACTCTAACAGTGACATCTTGAAAGGCTTCCTGTATACTCTCTGCTTCACTTTCAGATGTATATTCACTGGTTGGACATGGACAGCCAAGTTCTAGTTGTCCTGAGGCCACTCTTCTGGCCATTTGCTTTACTTCAGCTACACAAAAAGAACAAAATTACCAGTTCACAGCACAGAATCTGGACCTTCAAAGGATATCCTGTGTTTCACTGTGTCTGCAGGCTTGAAAATGTTAAAGTTATAGCCTGTAAACTCCTTTATCACGAAAAGAGCTAAACACTTCCTTCTATTTTAAGGAAAGCTTAAAATCTCCATAAACTGATACAGACAAGTCTTTACATGAACAATTTTTGGTAGTTTGCATTCTCTGTTATTCATGCCTGTACTGCCATCCACTGGTCACTGCTACACTACCCTTTCTAAATTTATATGCTGTCCCTCCCTTACATCCTGAAAAACAGGGCTAGAAATTCCTTGAGCTTTATAATCAAACCATCTTAATGAGGTTGTGATTATTTTATGCTCTGAATGTGCAAGACACAGGATCCTACTCATTTGGTTTTCATCCAAGAACAGCCTAATAGAGCTTCAGCAATAAAGGCACACAGACCTTTCTTAAGTAACAAAATGTGTTTAAGTTTTGATGCAGTGCACTAAGACTTGTTAACTCGGCATTAATGTTACCACTGATTTACTTACTCCTCCATTCTGATGGCACAATCCTTCTCTCCTCACTTAGTTTTGTACTGTAAAATTCAGATCTTGATTTTGGATCATACCTACAATAAATGGTTATGAAATATCAAACTCTGTTAAAGCACAAGTGTATTGTGTTAAGTATTCCCTAGTCAGTAAAAGAACAGAAGTTGTTTTAATGTTAATTAAAAGGCTGGGAGCGCACATGTTCTAAGAACCAAACAGAACTAGTAGATTGAGATGTCAGAAACTTAGAAAGCACAGACAGTTATTTAGCTCTATTATAGATTAACCAGACAAGCTGTACATTAAAATTTCAAAAGCTGTCAACTGCTTCAGAGGATACATCTATATAAACACTAACAGGCAACGAACACCATGCAGATGTGTTTTATTCAAGTCAGTAAGGCAATCACTGGATGCGTGAAGCTAATGAGAAATTCTGACTTGGATAACAACAATCCTGCCACCAACCCGATGCCAGTCTGGAGTTCATTCACTTGACCATCTAACCACATGTCAGCACCCGGCACATCTGTGTTCTAACCAAGTACATCCTTTACTAACAGGTCTTACTGAGCCAACCGGGTCATGAATCAACTTAAAAACTGCAACAGTTTTCCCGACAGGTTTGACCCAAACCTTGAAGGAGGTGCTTGTCCTCATCTTTCCAACTAATAAGATACATTAATTTGCACAAGTTTTGCCAGGTACTTTTAGCATGTACTTTCCACCCATACTTAGAAATACAAAAGGATGACATTAAAAAGCACAGCAAATATAACAAAGTAACGTATGCTCTGTTGTCACTGGGTGCAGCAAGACCATTCTCCTCCCACAGCCCCTAACACAGGTCCCAGTCCTACATCTATGAAAGCCAAAGTATTTCTACTAAGAACTGAATGAGGCTGTGCAGAGAGAGGAGAACCACCCTTACTAGTAGCTTATCAGACTGCTCTCCTTCAGCATGGTTATGGTTTTGGACCACTGCCCTCCATCACAGAGGCATGTGGAATCTGTCTGAACACCACTCTTTAAAAGTAACTGCCCTTTAAAAGCAGCAGCTACCCTGTCAGCTCTGCAGCTGATAATGACTCACCGTATGGTCCTAATTAGACAGATGGCCTTTGGCTTCATGAAAACACATTTAATGCCATTCTTGATCCTGGATGTGTCCACTTTTGATAGTGGCTGTATCAAGATTAATCTGCTAGAATTAACTCTTCTGTGAATACAATCAGAACTCACCACTTCTCTTCTTCACCTCCACTTGCTGTAGAATGCAAACCACCTCCTCTCTGACACTGCAAGTTCAAGGTTTTTTTGCATCTTACACATAAATGTGGGAGTAAAAGCTGAAATGAGTCCAACAAGCCATGATTCAGCAGGTGTCAGGCATTCTGGTAATTACTAGTTGAATATGAGATATACTAAGAATGGGACTGTGCAAACTTTATTCCACAGGTTATATTTAGCAGCACTGCTCATGAGAAAGGATCACAACTCCAGGCCTCGGCCAAGTATAAACTCTGCCCTGGATTTATAGCAAGTTTCATATGTACACAGGCAGAATATCATTAACATGTAGTTCCCAGGGGAATGAGTGAATCTAAATTACTCAAGATTATTCCGACAGCACACGCATACATAAATTTCTCTTTGGGCTAAGTATGTCAACTACTTCCATTTAATAATTAAAATTATCTATAAACCATTACTAATGACAGCTTAGTCCTCCATAACTAAGTATACAAACAATAATCTTTCTCCACGTGCCCTTTTCTGTAACAGTCCCATCTCCATTTCAGGACACAATTTTGCTCCCTCCCGAGCCACTGGACTAGTACTTTGCTGGGGGTGGGGGGGAGGGTGGGGAGAAAGAAGAAATACTATTGCACTGCTGAGCTGATTATTTTCATTCCTATAGATAATGCATATGGTATGCACATATATTTTAAAAGACAGATTCATCCCTCCTCTTGGACACTATCCATAACCACATTTTTTACTTGCTAAGGAGTACAGAATTGGCAAACACAGTCACTCTGCTCAATATTTTACCTCATGGTCTAGGTTCATTTGAGCATCCAGGCTTTTCACCACACTGAAGCTGAGATCATGATGGCTGTTTTCATTTTTACTCTTAGTCATCTCACAAAAGCACTTCCACTTTTCATTTCGAATTGCCTCCATTTCCTTTGTTGTCTTTGAGACAGCTTGGAAAGTGTCTCCACCCAATGCTCGTTGTGCCTGACACGGTAACAGTGGTGGAACATAGTCACTTGATGGTGGACCTACAGCCTTCCATAAAGTATTAGCTCCAGAAAAAGGGTTATCAGTATTTTGGGAAATATCATCAGATCTGTTCCAGTGTCCTTGAAAAGTGTGCCTCATTCTTATTTCCTGGAACAGCTTCTTTTGTTTTTCAGTAGCCTCGAATTTGTCCAGTATCTTCTCTGTTCTGTACAGGGAATCTGCTGTTTGCTGCAACATGCTCTGAACAATCTTTAAATTAAGGACACATTTGCTGATGTGCTGCTCATTTTGGGACAGATTACTCATTCTTTTCCCAGCATCTCCTCCCACTTGTGCCAGCACACAGAGGTCAGAGGCCTCACTTATCCTCTCCTCCTCTTCTGTAGTGTACTCTGTACCCGATTCTGAAGAACCTCCTTCCTCAAAAACTGACTCTTCCTCACAGTGTTCTCCAGGGGACGCACACATGTCTCTGAGGGCAGCCTTATCTTCTTCCTTTTGCTGCCTTTTTTCATCCTTTAGAATTTGACCTAATCCAGCTCCCTCTTCCAGGAAGTCTTCGTCAAATTCTGCATAATTGGTAAAGATTTCATTGATTTCAAAGCTACAGAGGCTGTCATCCACATCACTGACACTGCTGGTCATCTGGAGTTCAGAAGCTCCATCACTATTTTTGTCCTGTGCAACTGGTTGTAGACTGGTTGATGCCCCTTGGTCCACTAAAGCAATCTTCTCCTCAGGAAAAAAAGAGTACCTTGGGGCAGTAGAGCTGTCTGAAAAAATTGATTTTAAGTGTCAAGGCATTTTTCTAGATGTCCACCAAACACACAGCTTCTGTACATTTAGGAGTTAAGATCTTTTAGAGATTCCATGAGCAGCATTTAACAACTGCTGAAAACAGTGTACCTGAACTTCAAGAATTAACCAGACTTAATAGTCTTGAGGGTGGTAGCTAGAACCCAAAGCAAATTGCTTTCTATTTTCAAACTATGTCATAAAATCTGTAAGTGCTCACATTATAATTATTTATATTAGACCTCAATGGACTGAGGAACATGCTAAGTGAAGGACACATGACATCTTGCTAGAAGAAACTCACCAGCCTTTGTTATCTCTCTTCCCTGCCATTCCTGTGTTTTCTTCTGGTAGCTAAAAGCTGATGCCAAACAGATGTTCACATCTGCAAAAACAGTGGGTCTTTGTGCTTTTGACATTTCATCATGACCAGTCTGAGACTTCATTAAGTCCTGTAATACAAAAAACAGAATAAAAGACAACTATATTTGACAGTTCAGTGTCTCTAACCTCCTGTTTCAAGGTGGTTTGCCTCCACCATCAGAAAAGGATACTCGATGTTAAGATTGCCTCCCACCTAGATTTAAGCAGAGCGACTTGAACTTGAACAGACACAAAACTCTGCTGTTTTAAATACACAAAAGGCTACAATCCTGGAAGTCACCTTTAAGTCATGTTTCAGTACATAATGAATAGCCTGAAGTTCGACGGAGCGGTTCTTCTGTTTAGGTTCTAGTCCTGACTTTACAATATCATAATAGGGCGTAGGAAGTCTGACATCTGCTTCTAACTGTTGTCCCGAAATGATGAGCTGTTTAATAAGAGAGTCTTCAACACCCTTCCAGGGAGGGGTCTCTGCAAGACATAAATAGAGACTTTATGTCACTAGCTGTATATCAATGTTAATGAAAATAAAGAAAAAAGAAAAAAGACAAAACAATCAGAGATACTGAAGCATTATTGTCTGCACATTCCCTAATTTACAACTACTGTCAGGAACCAAACAAGCACTCAGTCCAGTCTGGCATCTCCACCTTATCTCATTTCAACAGTGGACAGCAATCTCTAAAGGACAGTTACACTGTAAACCACACTCTGGATTCTTGGTTACCAACGAGCTAATAGAGGGTTTAATTTTTTAGGGCAATTGTTTATCCCATTTCACTGTCAAAATAGTCAAAGTCAATACCTAACAGACATGACGTCATCTGTAATAACAATAACAACACATTATCTGTAAGTTCTCTTGGTGATCAAAAAGATGAAAGCTTCACAGGCTCGTTTTGCACACTGCAAAGAGTTAACCAGATGTTTTGCTGTCCTAGTACGGAGAAGAAAGATAAATGGCAGAAAAACACCACCAGAAAATTGTACCTCTCTAATAGCAACCATCCATCTCATCCTCTAGTTACACACTCTTCAGTTTTCTGATTACTTTTTACGGGAGTTTCCAGTAGTCTTTGCTACTGTCATTAACATCTGGGGTTTTTTTTTGCCTGGAGGGCTCCTTTTCCAAGTTAAGTCTGTGTGAGCCATCACAGCAAGGTTTTTAATACCTCTGTGTGACTGGGTATCAGACATTAGGGGGCTGACAGTCTCCGTTGAACACATTCAGCAGGTTACTCCACTGACAAAAGCCTACACGTGCAGATGTACCTGTCAAGGCCTCCTGCACCACTGCACAGAAGCTATAAATATCCGATTTGACCGTGACAGCTTTTTCAAGGATTACTTCAGGAGAGCACCACTTATACAGCTGGACTGGGACAGGAATACGTGTCAGATCACTGTGTTCTCCACCATCTTTGCTGTATAAAGGGAAAAAAGTTGTAAATTGGGACATGCAGCACACTCAACTAGAAGGTATAGCAACTAGAAGGTATATTACCATGGGCAAATTTTTATTTATTATCAATTTTACTTGTTTTCTTTACCATCTAACTTGATGTTTACTTCCTTTCTAATCCCACTGCACTACAGGGAAGAAGTAAAAAAAAAAAAAAAAGTATACAAGTAAGAATTTACCTAGATGAAATGAACTGTGTCCCTCATAAAAGAAATACTCTTTTTGTCACTGGTGGTTCTTAATTACTACCAGTTCAATGAGGTGTGGAATCTTCAACCATTGTAGGTAAGCCTCCATAAGCAAAAGTTCAGTATAACAAGAGGAGGACACTTGTGTTTGTCCCTTTCACAGGAAGTGAGGAAGCTCTTTACCTCTCAATCATGTACTCCAAGTTGCACAGCTTGGCCTCACCAGAAGAAACAATCTGAATAGCATAGGAGGTAACTGAACGGTGGATAAATCCACGGGAGTGTAGAAAACGCAGAGCGTCACTGATTTGAAGCAGCACGTGCAAAATCGTCTCCAAGTGCAGCACTGGGAATTCTGTACGCTGAAAAAAACCCAGAAGAACCAAATTTGCATTGCAGGTCTTTAAAGCTTGATGTAGGAAAAAACTATTATTGTACAGAAGAAGGCAAAGAGAGCAAACACGAAACATCCTGTAGTAAATGTCAGACAAATTGCACTTGCTAAATAATGTTCGTTCTCAATACCAAACCAACTAACAATACTTTAAAAAGTACCTAAGAAAAAAAAAGGTATTGACTATGCCAAAATTCATTCTGAAACAAAATTAACTCTGAGAATTTCTTGCCTTTGACTGCAATTTCTCCACTAACTTATATGCCTGCATTCAAACAGTTAAAGAAATAAAATAAAGACTCAACTGAAAAAAGAAAGAGAAAAATACTGAAAGACAAAAATACAACACAGATCAGTTGGGTTTTTTTTTTAAAAAAAAGGGAAAAGAAAAACAACTACACAAAATTCAAGCCTTCACTTTCATACACAGGCAGTTTGCAATGCACTACATGCAAATATTCAAGGGCAGAAGCTGCTCTTGCCACATTTGCAGTATACAGCCACATGCAGAAGATTCAAAGTTCAATTTAATTTAACAGCAGCCATTTTAAGACTGACTTCAAACAAGAAAATCAGTGCAACTGCACCTAAACATGAGCTGAAGTATTTGCCAATTACAAACTGTAACAGCTTACACAGAGTATCTGACACTGTGGAATGAGACAGAAACTCGGATGCACACACTGATGATTTTGTCATCTTCTTCTTTGAAGAAAGATGGTAGGCACAGCTACTGAACTTCTTCCTCTCAATTAATTGCTATTTAAAAAGCAAGTATTCCAATTACCCTTTCATGAAGGATGCTGTGCAGAGAACCAAAGTGAACCCTTTCATACACTAAACGGGTTTTCCTCAAGTCACTAGACAGACAAACAGACATCAGCTGTAGCAAATGAGGATGCCGGAGTTTACTGCAAAGGGAGAGGAAAAAGATTATGTAATGCAAATCTGAGATTAAAAGAGAAAGACTCCTGGCCTTCTACGTGTTTTTATCATACAATGTGAATGCTTCTAACTTTTCATTAAAATAGCCAACATTTTAAAAGAACCATAGATTAGGAGGCATTTAGGAAACAGTACTTACTGTCACAACCAGGAGAATGTCTAAATAAGCCACTCAAGAAATGTGCAATGAAACATTCATCCAGGCACACGAGAAGAGAGTATCATCATCTCCTGTATTAGCCATGGGGGAGCAAATGGAATGGGAAGAAACAGGAGAAGGATAGTCCTGTGTTTCTCATTTGGAGACAAAGCACAACCACAGCCTAACAGTCCTGCTGAGGTTAATCACATTTCCTCACGTCATTGGAGACACCCAAACCCCAGGAGCACTTGTGGCTCCTCCACATTCTTTCTTACCTGCTATGTTCCTGCTCTGCAATGAGAAGATCAGCTAAGCGTAGTTTACAACATTTCTGATGGGGGTCTAAGGCGAGTTCCTTCACTGTAACTCTGCTGCCTCCCCACATGAAGCTACAAGAAGAAGAACAGGAATTTCTATGAGATGCTTTCTGCAGTATTTTTTTCAGTTATGGGATTACTTACAAATAATTTTGCAGTTCTGAAATGCTCTGGTGCTGTCTCCTACTGTTAGTAGTGTTACTTTAATGATCCTGGCTCTAGCATATTCAGTTCACTGTAGGTTTAAGCAAGTGGGCTGCAGACATGCATATCCAGAGGTCTGAGTCCTGACCCAACAACTACAAAGACTAAACACTGAACAGTGCAATCTGTGCAACACCAGCAACCTATTTCCCACCACAAAAGGAATCAGTACTGAAACATTGATGCCAATGAAGAACCAGAGTCGGGTTAATGTTGCTGGAAAGGACAAGAGCAACCTACAGATATCAAGGGAGTCGAAGGGAGATGTTAGTCAGACTGCAGAAAACAAGTTGCAAACAGAAAGCAGTGGATTAATATAGAACAGACAAGGAAAACTATCCAAACAAGGCATCTGGTACAACAACTTGCTGCTTAACAGTAACAGATGCACACTGAGAGGGGCTAAAACCCCTTTGATTGCACTTACTGTGTCATGATCATGTACGGTCCAACGTGGTAAGAAAATGCTGGTTCATCATGTGCCTGAACCAGGTCTTTTTCCCCAATAATAGGAAGAGATGCCAAGTACCCCAGATGCCTGCTGCCTGCAAGATAAAACTGAAACAATACCAGGGCATAACCAAAAGGAATATGCAACATCTTCCACAAGCTCACTAAAAACTGGAGTGTAATCACTGCAATGGGAGCATCATCAAAATTAAATGTGCAGGTCTCTATGTCAAAAGTTTAACTTTCTAGTGAAGCTGAAATAGGAAAAGCAGAAACAGTCATTAGGAACTCCCACAGGTGACATTTAACAGGAGAGTTTATCAACTGTCCCAAAGCACCTTCCTCTGATAGGGCCTACTAACAACTACAGCCCTGAATATTTCTGCCCTCCATGGCTTTTTTTCCCACCACTTCAGTAGAAACAGGAACACATTAAAAATTAAATAACAACACAGGTGGTGTAATTACTGTGCAGAATATGTGACTCTGAAAAACTGTACTAATATCATCAGAAAACCACTACCCATAGCATCTTACCTTCCCAAAGCCAAAGCTGTAAATGTTCTTGGCTGCATTAGCTCCACCTTTTAGAAATCTACCCAGAGGACTGTGAACATTTCTAAGTATCAAAAACATAAGCAACAAGAATAACTAACATGCCAAGGCTCTGAGTAAAATACAAAAAAGAGAGAGAAAAAAGCAGAAATTCTGCAAGAGTCGTGTATTTCAAATGTTGCATTTGACTGGTCCCACACAAAAAGTGTAATGTGGATGCTGAAATTCCAAATTATTGTGCAACTCATTAAAACTTTTTAGATTCACTGTTACGATATGTATTTGTTTAAAAAAAATACACAGGCATCCTGCATTGCTTTTTGTTCACAAGTATGTATTTTTCTTAACATGTAACTGACATAAAAGCTCTTGAAACAGTTGGAAACACACCCTTAAAAGATTTGCAGTAACTTTAAAAGATCAAGAAACAAACTACTTCATGTCACTCCATTTTAATACTATCAAAATCCAGTATTTCACACTGCTGATTTCAACAGTTGTAAAAATCCATATATTAAGAGATACTATCAAGTTTCTATTTGGAACTCTCCCAATAGAGATAAAAAGTATCATCATTCTTAACACACACTGGTTTTAAATCTGATATTGTCAAAAAGAAACAAGAACATGTTAGTTTTATGATAATAGAATATGAAAGCACAAGTCCTTGTAGCTCAATCCCTCAGTACTTCAGAATATATTCCTACCCTTGAACAAGACCACCAAACCTAGACGGGCTGCAGACCAGAGCTTTCGAGGAGCCAACCCTCCTGAGTAGATCAGAGGGAAAATTTTGAATGGCAGCCTGCATGTGGAATGTACAACGCTGTATAAATTCCAGTATCTAGAGAGGAGGGGAGGGAAAAAAAAAACCACAACAACAAAAAATTACTTCAGAACTGTAAGATAAACCATGTTAAATTAATAGACCATGACTACTGAAAAAATAACTGGTTACTTGCAATGTTTAAACAGGCATTTCAAGAACTGGAGACGCAGGAAAAACGTGAAGAAAAGCAGTTACATGAAAATATAAGAGAAAGCTTACTTCAAACACTAACTTTCAAGACATTCACCCACTGAAAATTATAATATCAGGTTTCTTTTCAAGAGGAGCATTGTAGTAACAGGAGTATTATGAGTTTAAAATCAGTATCACAACAATGAATCTTGAATTCTTGATATCCCATTTTGCTACCACGCTAGCAAAAATGACACACATGCTGACACTGATCATGCACAGACTGATATGCACTTGAGAACTGCTTCAGGTTTACTCCTGAATTGCACATACATGCAAACAAACTACAGACATCAGGGATCAAAACCAAGGGCCTGTCATTCTCCTCACTGCACACTTACACATAGAAGTCCTAACAATTTACAGACACACATGGCCCCCACGTCTGAGCACAACCTTAGTTAAATAATCTGAATCGTGAGGACTTCAAAATACCATTACTGACATTGAAAACTGATGTTAAGTTATTTTTCTAACATGTAAAAGAAGAATCTCTCCCTGGAATGCTGGAGTCTCTTCATGTTAAGCTGAAGGTGTGAGCACACACCCAGCACGTGTCACACAGACATACCTGAGCACTCCTTTCGCTGTCAGCTGACATAGCCCAGTACTGAGGATTTTTTCCATCTTTATCATGTACTCTCAGATCACCTCCCTCATCCAATAACCTGCTGAGAATCCACTGATTCCCTGAGAAGGCAGCTGCATGGACTGGAGTGCTTCCATCGTAACAGCGACTGAGGAACATCAAAGCAGAAATGTTTCAACCCACCCCTACTACACTCGACCAGCTGTGCTTCTGGGGAAACAGCAGCACACCAAGAACTTTCATGTACCCCCAAAAAACCAACATACACCATGAAATAAGGAAAATTATGCACCCACTTACCTCTGAGGATCTTTGGTTAAAATAGCAACATGCATCTTAAGCACTTCTTCATTTATATAGAGTGAATATTGTGTATCACATTGACTAAAAGTAATTTCAATTTAAGAAAAAAGAAAAAAATTATACTTAACTGATTAGCATCTGAGCCGTAATCCAAGAGAATATCCACTATTTTACCAAAACCGAGCAACGCAGCAGTGAAGAGAGACGTTTGGCCCATGGAATTTACAGCATCAACAAAAACACCTACAAGAAAACAAGATTACAAGGCAAGTGTGAGTGCTTGTTCCTCCCCAGCCTGAATAAAAGGTTCATTAACACCATCACTGACAGCCATGCTGAGACACTGGAAATAGGAAGACATAAGGATATTAACAGAAAATTTAACAAAAAGCAAATGACTTTCCTTGTAACCTTGTATACATGCAGCTTTCGGCCACAAGGTTTTCAAATAAATATCAGAGGCACAGTATTAACCTGGACGAGCACAGATAACACCAGAGCACTGCACTGATAGAGAACTGAATTCTTCTGAAGTACCAAGGAAGAGTTATCGACGAATATTTTGTTACTTTAACTGACGTTGTTCAAATTAACGGATTTTGTTCAGCATTATAAAGAGTACAAGTAGCCTGGAGGGATGCGGCTCTCACAGCACAACCGCGCGTGTTTCCAGTGTCAGACTCACACCACCGCTCATCTATCTTTAGAACCATTAAAAAAGGGGGGGTCACAAACCACTCAGCCCGTGCTCTCCTCACGGACCGACTAGAACAACCCCTCAGAGTACCACTGGGTTTAACATTACCCTGTACACCTCTGGATCCAGCCTGAGCACCAAGGACTTCCACATCATAGCGTCAATGTAATACTGACCAGCTTCTCCCAGCCTCACACCCCAGAACACACCCTGTGGCCTCAGGATCCAAACTGACGTATCGCATCTTCCATAGCATAGAGAGCACAAGTTCCAGCAGTTTCTCCCTAACCCCTGTCAAGACTCTGGTCAAAGGCTCATCACCATGCCCCAGATCCAGCTTGAGCAACTCCGACTCCCACAGAATCCCAGAATTGCCTCGACTGGAAAAGCCCTTTAAGATCATTGAGTCCAACCATGAACCCAACACGGACAAGTCCCCGACTAACCCATGTCCCTCAGCACTGTGTCTACACGACTCTTCAATCCCTCCAGGGATGGGGACTCCACCACTGCCCTGGGCAACCCCTTCCAATGCCTCAGAACCCTTTCAGCAAAGAAATTCTTCCTCACATCCAATCTCAACTGCCCTTGGTGCAACTTGAAGCCATTTCCTCTTGTCCTGTCACTTGCTTCCTTGGTCGAACATGTCATGAAAGGCAAATCCTGAGCAGTTTCTCCCCAGTTCCTCATCACTGATGAGCACTGTTCATCAGAAACAACTCATCACCCCCACCATGACACCCGTTCTGGGACAGGGGAGGCAGCCGAGAGTCCCACTGTTGGCTCTGAGGGTGTCCTCGGTCCCCGCCTACCACTGATCTATTTTTAGAACCATTAAAATAGGGGGGTCACAAACCACTCAGCCCGTGCTCTCTCCCTCCCGAACCCCACATGGGGGGGCTCCGGCACAAGCAGCCCCGCCCGCCCGCTTCGCGCTCAGGAGAGAACACCCCGCTCCTCCTCGTGGCTTGTGACGCCGATCAGGGGAGATCACTCTCCTCTAGTGACCAACTACAGAAATGATCCCTGAAAGTATAGTCTTAACCACGCAACGCCGCCCGCACCCGCCCCACACACACGCACCGCCCTC